CTCTATTACAATATATCCAAAGTATTCTAGGTGGAAGCATCAAATTACGATCTGGTGTGAAAGCTTACCGATACCGATTACACAATATGAAAGGTATGATTACTCTAGTAAACTCTATCAATGGCTACATTCGACACTCAGGACGAGTATTACAACTACATCGGGTATGTCAACAACTTGATATTTCCCTAGTAGGACCATTACCACTTTATTCTACTTCACCTTGGTTTGGAGGATTCTTTGATGCTGATGGTACAATTACATTCAGTATCAAAAACCTAGTACCGCAACTAAGTGTTCGAGTAACTAACAAATTACTACAAGATGTAGAATGGTTCAAAACTATTTTTGGAGGTTACGTATATTTTGACTCTAGTCAAAACGGTTACTATCAATGGTCAGTACAAAGTCGTTCTGATGTACTTCGTGTACTAAATTACTTCAAAGCTAACTGTCGAAGTCATAAATCACAACGATTCTTCCTAGTAGAAAAATACTTTCGTTTACGTGACTTAGGCGCATTCAAATCAGATAACCCTTACCATAATGAATGGCTATCATTCAAGGCCAAATGGGACAAGTAGATGTTATAGTCCACCCTCTTATACAAGAGGAAGCACCCTGAAGTATATATTATGATCATTCCAGGGTTCGGTATGATCTCACACGTAATCTCAACATTCTCAGGTAAACCAGTATTTGGATACCTAGGTATGGTATATGCTATGGCATCAATTGGTATTCTAGGATTTATTGTATGGTCTCACCACATGTACACAGTTGGACTTGACGTAGATACACGAGCCTACTTCACAGCTGCTTCAATGATCATTGCTGTTCCTACAGGTATTAAAGTATTCTCATGGCTTGCTACATGTTACGGTGGATCAGTGCGATTCACAGCTCCTATGCTATTCGCTCTAGGATTCCTAGCACTATTCACAATTGGTGGGCTAACAGGAGTAGTCCTAGCTAACGCATCACTGGACGTTGCAATGCACGATACTTACTACGTAGTTGCACACTTCCACTATGTTCTATCAATGGGAGCCGTATTCTCAATCTTCGCTGGATTCTACTATTGGGGACCAAAAATCCTAGGAAAAATGTACAACGAAACACTAGGACAAATCCACTTCTGGACATTATTCATTGGAGTTAACACAACATTCATGCCACAACACTTCCTTGGACTGGCCGGAATGCAGTCACCAGTCCCTATTACTAATCGTATCAAGTCAATTCACACTAGTTCATCTAATGATGATTCTGACGACGATAACAATTCTTCACTAAAGTCAGACAACCTATCTTCTGAATCGAATGATAAACCGTCATCTGATTTAAAAATCAGTAATAACACTACTGATCGATCAGGACCTAATAATCCCTTCTATGGTAAAATACATTCAGAAGAAACTAAACGTAAAATTTCAGAAGCTCGAGCAGGGAAACCAAACCCTAATATGGCACGAGATATTAAAGGGGAAAAAAATCCTTTCTTTGGTAAACAACATTCAGCAGAAACACGACAGCAGATGTCTGAAGCTAAGTCAGGGTATAATAACCCATTTTACAATAATCCTGATGATATGTCTTATCGATGGCAACACTACATGGAAGAGAACGCTTTCCGATCAGGTTTTGCTAATCCTAGTTACAAAGGAACTTATGTATTAAATGTAGCTAACAATACACAATCAGGCCCTTTCCTCAAAAAGGATGTCCTATCTACATTCCACATTAGTTCTAAAAAATATTATGAATACCTTAACACAGGTAAGGCGTACAAAGGGTTTATGTTTAGTCACAAAAAATTTGATACTGACTTTAGTTAGTATAAGGTGTTCCGGTAAAATCGGGTGAATTGCAAAGACATCTCATAATGAGACAATTTGCAGCAAAGCCATTATCTGCATCTAGTATATTACTGTATGATAATGGAATGTTCAACGACTAACGAGTGAGTTATGTAGACAATAATCTCGACACGAGTGCCCGACTATATATATATATATATATAGATGACATAGTCTAAACAGTAACGTAAGTTACTGGAGCTGAATATTAAACGTATTCCATTATAATAATAAATGGCCTCGACGAATTCCTGACTACCCAGATGCATTTGAAGGATGGAACTATGTCAGTTCAATTGGTTCAATCATCTCAGTAGTAGCTACAGCTATCTTCCTATATGTAGTCTACGATATGCTAGTTAACCAACCAGCAGCAGCAGCTAACCCATGGGGAGTTCCAGCATTTTTCACAAGTACACCAGTGTACCTTAAAGAATCACCCTCAAGTCCAACACTAGAATGGACACTACCAAGCCCAACTCCATACCACGCATACCACATGATGCCTGTACAATCTTAGTTCTATGTTAGACATTACTTTCATAGTTGATTAACACCTTCTATGTCTCAAGTATTATCTTGATTATTTACTGTTATAACAGTATTCTCTAACCCCCGATTAAATAATTTACGTTTTAAAAGACAGCTCTTAATATAGAGGTAATACAATAATTAGACAAATTCTATGCCACAACTACTACCTTTCTACTTTGTGAACCAAATCACATTTGCTCTAGCAGCACTGTTCACAATCACATACGTTATGTCAGTCTATGTACTACCATACTTCGTACAACTATTTGTTACACGAGTGTACATTACTAAACTATAATATATCAATAACATAATACATATAATCCCCGCAGTATTTAAATATTATCTAAAAGCAGTAGTATATAGGGATTAATAGCCAAGTGGTTTAAGGCGCCGTACTTGAAATACGGTAATGCGCAAGCATTCAGAGGTTCGAATCCTTTTTAATCCGTCAGAATAAGTATACTATAAAAGCGAACTATGTCAAATGACATACAATAAAGTGAAAAGTTTTAGATTTATCACTCAAGCCTAAAAGGTATTTAAAGTAAGTGTTTAATTATGGCACGTCCGGATGGGTATCTAGGTATTTAACACATGCAAGTTGTATGGGTACATTAGTGTAACCATGGCATACTGGTCAGTATCATTGAGAAGATACCTTAAGAATCATGCAAATCATGAATATACAAAAGGGTTAATTCCGTCTTAAGATTCACTCAATGCCTAATAGGTAGTTGGTGAGGTAATGCTTAACAAGCCGATAATGGGAAGAGTAGGATGAGAGTCTTAAACTCGACATTGGAAATGAAAAAGTCCAAAGCATCAATCGATGCGCAGCAGTGAAGAATATTGGTCAATGCACTAAAGTGTGAACCAGTAACCTAGATTAGATTCACCATGATCTATAACGAACTTTTGAATGATGATCTAAGTTCTATTAGTCCTGTCTAAATTCTGTGCCAGCAGACGCGGTAAGACAGAAAGGGCAACCCATCGGAATTATGAATTGGTGTAAAGGGTACGTAGCTGGTAACGTCAAGTTACTAGAGTCCAATAGAAGTAAGAACAATACCTAGAGTAGGGCTGATATTTTATAATACTAGGGGGAGAGCTAATGGCGAAAGCATCTTACTAGATAAGGACTGACGGTAAGGTACGAAGGCTAGGGCATGAATAGGGATTAGAGACCCCAGTACTCCTAGCTGTAAACGATGCAGATTAGAGATTAGTTATGTCTAACTAGTCTCGATGTTAACGCGTTAAATCTGCCACCTGTATAGTATAGTCGCATGGCTGAAATACAAATAATTAGACCGCCCGTAAGCAAACGGAGTGAAGCATGTTATTTAATACGATAACCCGCGTACAATCTTACCACATCTTGCATACCTACAATGTCTGTAATAGACGTAGAGTACAGGTGCTGCATGGCTGTCGCCAGTTAGTGCTCGTAAGGCCTAAGGTTAATTCCGTTGAACTAACGCAATCCTCGCTGTGAGTTTACACCTTGCAGTCTCATCCTGATAAAGGATGATTTTAGGAGGACTATGACAAGCCCTCATGGCCCTTATGATGTGGGCTATAGACGTGCCACAAGAACGTATACAATATGAAGCAATGTCGAAAGAAGGAGCTAACCACTAAAATACGTTAATGTACGGATTGTGGGCTGGAACTCGCCTACATGAAGCAGGAATTCCGAGTAATCGTGTATCACCACGGCACGGTGAAACTAAATCTTACGGGGATACTAACCGCTCGTCACGGGAGGAGAGGTTTACAATTATGAAGTTGTTACAGGTTAGTACTTATAAAGGATATCAAGCATTGCACCCTTATAGGGTAATTAAACTAGCTGACAGCTACGAGTAGTCAAAACTGATTCTTCTGAAGTCGAAACAAGGTAGCTGTAGGGGAACCTGCGGCTGACAGATAACTAATATTCAAACCCCCTTTTCTATTCTTAGGTATCGGAATAGATTAGATATACAGGGATAAAGTAAAATAATTATATCTATTATTTCATTATAAGTGACGAAACTTATGTTGCTTTTAAGAGTACGAAATTATGTTGCTTTTAAGAGTACGAAATTATCAGCCCCTTTATTTGGCTATAGCCATTATATACTCTCTGTACTATACTGTACTGTAGTTTTACCCTACAATTACTCACAAATATTATATTTATTCGACACTGCTTTCATAGTTGATTAACACCTTCTATCTCTCAAGTATTATCTTGATTATTTACTGTTATAACAGTATTCTCTAACTTCCAATTAAAATAATTTACAATTTAAAAGTGAGCTATCTATCTTTTAATACAGAGGTACAAGGGAGTTAGCTAAGAGGGTGAACGCTACCGCTCGACCTCCTGACACCTATCGGTGTAATCGGTACGAGTTCCGCTCTTTATCAACGAATAAGTCAATAACTACCCCAAGAATAAAAAATAAATGATATTAGAAGTAGTAGGCATAAGCTATTTAATTCAATATAAACAAGCGTAGCGAGTGAGTTGAGGTCCACGCAGTGGCACGAGACCACTCGCTATGTATACGAAAAAATTATTTACGATTCTATTAGCTTAAAAGCGTAGATTAAGGGAAAATAGCATAATTGGTAATGTACCACTTTGTCGAAGTGGGGTATGGCGGTTCGAGCCCGCTTTTTCTCGTTATACCAGATGTGACAAATTAGACGTACTAATATTTAGATGGTCTTATTATAATTTAATTGTACATGTCATATCACCTGTACTAACGTGTTGAATAGATTTCAACATTTCACAAAAATCAAAATTTAGTGCCGTTGGCAATGTAAATAATAAGACATTTAGTCATCTATTATAGATCTATGAGCACAAGCTCATTGTTCATTATATACCAGTACCATAAGGATATATAACTAACTATCATGACTCTTTCGCTAGTTCTATTCCTCATCGGAATTCTAGGGTTTATTCTAAACCGTAAAAACATCATTCTCATGATTATCTCTATCGAAATTATGCTTCTTGCAGTTACTCTATTAGTGCTAGTTAGTTCATACCAATTTGATGATATTATGGGACAAACATACTCTATCTATATCATCGCTATTGCCGGAGCAGAATCTGCAATTGGTTTAGGTATTCTGGTAGCATACTACCGACTACGAGGTAACATCTCTCTACGTACATAATGTATCTATCAATTCTAGCACTACCTATGTTTGGTTCAGCTGTAGGAGGTCTGTTCGGACGAAAAATTGGTGTTACAGGTGCTCACATCATTACTACAGGATGTCTAACACTATCAGCTCTACTATCTATTGTAGCATTTTACGAAGTAGGTCTATGTGGATCACCAGTTTCTATTGAACTCTTCAGTTGGATTGACTCTGAATTCATGCTAGTACAATGGGGATTCCTATTTGATAGCTTAACAGTATCTATGCTACTTCCTGTATTAATTGTATCATCACTAGTACACCTATACTCAATTTCATACATGGCAGAAGATCCACATAACCAACGATTCTTCTCATATCTATCAATGTTCACATTCTTCATGCTAATTCTTGTAGCTGGGGATAACTATTTTATTATGTTCATTGGTTGGGAAGGTATCGGAATTTCATCTTACCTACTAATCAACTTCTGGTACACACGTATCCAAGCTAACAAATCAGGTATCAAAGCCCTTACTGTTAACCGTGTAGGTGATATGTTCCTTTCAGTTGGATTCTTTGCTATCTTCTGGGTATTTGGTAATGTAGATTATGCTACTGTATTCAGTGTAGTACCATACATTAACGAATCAGCTATTACTATTATTGGACTTCTTCTATTAGTAGGTGCTATGGCTAAATCAGCTCAAATTGGATTACACACATGGCTTCCAGATGCTATGGAAGGTAAAGGGAAATATATTATCTATGGTCTCAGTTTAATGATTCTTATCATGAGTGTTATGTTAGTGTTCAAATATTGGTGCACATCGTTAGAAGCTTTAGATATGATGGCTCTACCTCCTATCTTAGCTGCATTACCTTCTAATACACTACACACCATTACGGGCAATATGCTAGGTGATGGTAGTATCCGTTATAACAACATAGCTCGAAATAACGGTGTACCTAAAGGTAATTGCCGTTATAGTATGACAATGGGAGCTAAAGCACTTAACTACATCAAGTCATTAGTTAATGGCGTATATGCACCTTATTGTAGCTCTAGTATTAATTCTTATCCTAATCCTAATTCTCCTAATTACACAGGTACAGCCACACAATATAGTTTCTCTACTATGTCATTACCTGTATTTACAGCACTACACCAACTTTGGTATCAATATAATGACATACTTGGTGCGTTTGTGAAAGTTGTACCTCTAAATATTGGAGAAATGTTCTCACCGATCTCTCTAGCTCACTGGATTATGGAAGATGGATACTTTGATGGTTACGGACGAGCTCAAACAGTTATCTTATGTACAGAATGTTTCACACCTGTTGAATGCAAACTACTTCAAGAAGTACTTCTTAAACTAGGTATTGTTTCAACTCTCAAAGTGCGAAATTCAGTTAAAGGTACTTATCGAATTCGAATTTCTAAATCAAGTATGCCACTTCTCCGAGAATTAGTTACATCACACATGCATCCAGACTTCATGTACAAACTGGGTTCATTATAATATATTAGGGCCTTCCTTAAACTCCACTATATGCTGGAAAATCATAAAACTCTTGGTACTAGTTTAGGTTGTATCTATAACTATACTAGTGACAATCCGAGAGATATTGCAATTGACAATCAGCAGGGAACCAACAATAACCAGCCTTGGCTGGTAATTTAGTAGAATCCTCAGAGACTACATGTGGAGCCCTACGGGGATGATATAGTCCGACCAATCGCGAGATCGATTGTTAACATTTTTCTTGCCTACTCCTGTTTCAGCTCTTATCCACGCAGCTACTCTGGTAACAGCTGGAGTTTACCTAATGCTTCGATCTTCACCAATCATTGAATACGGACCTACTGTTCTAGTAGTCGTAACATGGGTTGGAGCATTAACAGCATTCTTTGCAGCTACAACAGGTCTACTACAAAATGATCTAAAACGAGTAATTGCATACAGTACTTGTTCACAAATGGGTTACCTATTCATGGCTGTAGGACTATCACAATATAATGTTGCACTATTCCACCTTGTAAATCACGCATTCTTCAAAGCGCTTCTATTCCTAGCTGCCGGTGCAGTTATTCACGGAATGGCAGACCAACAAGATCTACGACGACTAGGTGGTCTAGTTAATTTCCTACCATTCACTTACACAGCTATTCTAATTGGATCTTTATCACTAATGGCATTTCCATTCCTAACAGGATTCTACAGTAAAGATCTAATTCTTGAAGTAGCACTAGGTCAATATGAAGTTTCTGGTAACATTGCATATTGGCTAGGGACAATTTCTGCAGTATTCACAGCATTCTATTCATTCCGACTAATCTCTCTAACATTCTTTACAGTACCTAACGCACCTAAAGGAGATTACCTACATGCACACGAAGCACCAATGATTATTGTTATTCCACTAGTTATCCTATCAATCATGTCAATTGGATTTGGTTACGTAGCTAAAGACCTGTTCGTAGGTATTGGGTCTGATTTCCTATCAGCTGCGCTATTTCAACACCCTGACCACATTTCACTAGTTGAAGCAGAATTCGGATTACCACTACTTCTTAAACTGCTGCCTGCAATTGGTAGTCTATTCGGAGCTGCATTAGCAATCTACCTATACCATGTAGTACCTGCATTCACAATTGGTCTAACAGACAACACTATTGGTAACGCTCTATACAAATTCCTTAACGGAAAATGGCTATTTGACATGGCATACAACAGTTACATTATCTCAGGAGGTCTACGACTTGGACACGTAATTTCTAAAGTCATTGACCGAGGGGTTATTGAACTTGTAGGACCATACGGTTTCAGTAACGGACTGACAAATGCAGGTCGATCTGTAGCTAGTTACGACACAGGTGTAATTACAAGTTACGCTCTATACATTATTCTAGGTCTAATTTCATTCATCTTCCTACTATTTGCTCCTGTTCTACTACAAGGTGGTACAGTTGAATCAGTGTTCGGAGGTGATATTGGACTAATCCTAGTATACCTAAGTGCTCTAGTATTACTGCCAACAGCCAAAGCCGTTTCATCTTCAACACAATCATAATTAAATCTCTAATATACAAATTAATCCCCGCTCTATAGCTATATATAAAAGCTAAAAGTATATACAGGTGGAAGTCTATTAGGTATGACGCTTGCTTTGGGTGCGAGATCTTGCAGGTTCGAATCCTGTCCACCTGAGCTATGATTTATCTTTAGTCATTAGAAATGTTGCCATAGCTCAACGGTTAGAGCAGGATACTGTTAATATCAAGATGGAAGTTCGAGAAAGTTGTCATAGCTCAACGGTTAGAGCGGAACACTGTTAATGTTTAGATAAAGGTTCGATTCCTTTTGACGACTAGCAAAGTACTCTAGTCATTTTTTGATAACAGTGTATGCAGACACTAGAATTAGGTTATATCCCCGCTTATCGGCGAATAATAGGGATGGAGTAACACGTTATAATAAGCCTACACTATGTGTACTGTTGTATTAAGGAAATGGCTATCACACTTTAAGTAGTATTCAAACCATCTATCTTAAATAGTCCTCATTTACGACTTTAAATAATCTATAACCCCGATGAACATGCTATAACACACAAGCTATAGCTAAAGGGATTGAAGCATTAAATCGAATGTATAATTTCTTAGAACATGACAGTCGACTGAACAATGTTCTTAAATCAACATTGTTCTCACCTGTTAAAACCTTTAGAAGGAGACACAGGTATTCCAGTAAACCATGCTGATCCTAAGTATCTAGCTTCGCTACCTCAGTCTTTAGATCTAGATATTTCATATAACCCTCAGTAATTTATTCTCTTCCTTCAGTTGTAGCAGTATATACATTTTTTTAAATGATGCTGATCGAGTGACACAATGCGGATCTTCCATCCGTGTACCAGGATGAGTGTTTAATCATTATTCTTGACTCTGCTAAACAAGTATTCATTTTCAAAGATGTAACTATTTCTGAATATGAATGGATAGCTATCAAACATACGCAAAACTATGTAGCTCTCTACGATATGGTTAACGATATGAATGCTAAAGAAGAATACATCCTAACATCGTTCATGCAACAAGAAGTTCGTTCCTTAGAACAAGCATACTCTACTTATGCTAAACCTACTAATTATAAAAGTATTCACGTCAATACTTGGCACAACAGTTAACACCAGATACACAAAGAACAGCTAACTTAGCTAAACGAGTTACATGGTTAGATGAACAAGGTACATCCTTTTCACGTAGTTCTATCAAAGCTGCAGCTACAGAACTAGATTATAATCCTAAACAAGTCAAAAACTTAAATTAGGAAATATGCTAGACACCGACAAATATAGTAAAGTTACAGTCTTAATTGAAGATGTAGATAAGGTAAATGTTTCTATGGATAAACGTTACGGCACATCTGTTAACATAATTGTAGACACTAATGATTTAATTATCTAAACACTACTATCTGCATGATGTAGATATGAACCAATTACCTATAGGACTATTAAGTCTTTACGAGCCACTAATGAAGCTATAAGATTATCTCCTAATTATCACGGTACTCATCATGGTATGATTACATGCATCTAATCAAAACTGAGTCATTAGATATCTCTGTATATGTAGTCAAATCCGGGTTTGGTTATTCTGTTCCTATGTTACTGCATAACATCCACAATAAGACAGTAGTAGAATACCCTACTATGTCTGCAGCAGCTTTAGCTTTAGGTATCAAAACAGATGATAACCTTTTAGTACACGCTATTAAAAGTACACCTGTAGTAGCTCCTGGGGGATCTAAATATTTAGTAGAATTCAAATCTCAAGCAGATCGTGATAAAGAATTAGCACGGTACAACAAACGATTAGCTAATATTATACTGAAGCGAATAGCTAAAAAATTACTCTAACCTCCCCCCCCCTACCCCCCTAAGTAATTATTTAATTGACTGATAGTAAGTAGAGCGATTTAAGAACTCACTAAAAGTGAACTATAACTGTCTTGAAGGAAATGATCCGCATGGCAAGAATGGTGACTTAATTCTTAGTTCTACTTACTCGAGGCAGTCTTTACTCGACCTCTAGTTTATTGGCTTTATGCTTCTTCCTTTATTATTAAGTGAGAAGAACGCTTGATTAATGTCATGACGTAGCCGCTAATATATTTTACTTCTATATGAACACATTTCTACTAGATCTACTAGCCTTTGGTGCTGTACTGTCAGGAGTTCTTGTTATCACATCAAAAAACCCGGTTATTTCTGTATTATTCCTAATTTCTGTATTTATTAATGCAGCAGGATATCTTCTACTATTAGGTGTAGGATTCGTAGGTATTTCATACCTAATTGTGTATGTAGGTGCTATTGCTATCCTATTCCTATTCGTAGTTATGATGCTAAACATTCAACTTACAGAAATTGTATCAGTTGGACGAGAATACACTAAAAATCTACCTCTAGGTTTCATTGTAGGTTCTCTATTCTTCTTTGAAGTGCTATCACTGTTACCAGCATCATACTCAGAAGCAGGTGAACTACCACTAGGACTGTTTAACTACATCAATGGACTATTCCTTGGTCTAAACAGCCCATTAACCAGTTCAGATGTACATATGACATTCACTGGCCCTGGTGCAGACGATAGTTTCTCAGAATTCCTACAAATCGAAGCTATTGGACAAGGTCTTTACACATATGGTTCACTATGGCTTCTACTAGGAAGTATTATCCTTCTACTAGCTATGCTAGGTCCTATTGCACTATGTCTACGATCAGCTAATGATAAATAATTTCTAATTCAAATTCTACTCTAATCCCCGTTCTAGCTATATGAAAAATATTAGTAGACTAAAAGAGAGCGTAATATACATAGTTTCCTTTTCAAGACAAGTATGCTGGAACTGGTAAACAGGTCTCACTTAAGATGAGGTGCCTTAATGGCTTGAGAGTTCGATTCTCTCTACTTGTAGAATAACAGCGAAGTGGTGTAAAGGTAACATATCAGTCTCATGAACTGATGTAAAAGGTTCAATTCCTTTCTTCGCATATTTTATTATACAGACGCTATCGTATAACGGTTAATACACTTGCCCTTCACGCAGGGAACGCCGGTTCGATTCCGGCTAGCGTTAATAAGATAAAGCCCGCATAGTTAAATGGTATAACGCGAATCTTGTAAATTCGAGTCTTTGGTTCGATTCCAGATGTAGGTACATATATTATTATATGACTTCTAGGGTAATAGGTAACCCGACCCTTTTTGGTGGGGTAGATTCTACGTTCGAATCGTAGGAAGTCAGTGTATACTAATTTTAGGATTTTAGTATGTTTAAATCTACCTAGAGAGCATAACTCAGTTGGTAGAGTAGCTGACTTTTAATCAGTTTGTCGTAGGTTCGAGCCCTACTGCTCTTAAATATTTATAACAGGTTACAACAGGAAGGACACAACTATGGTGAGGTGAATCTGGTTGCTAACTAGACGGGGTACTACCCCTTATGGGTTCGACTCCCATTCCTTCCGATAATCTACCATTCATTAGTTATTAATCAATAATGTAACGGGGATTTGATGAATAGATGAGTATGTAATTAAGCTACTGCTCGTTGACTGATCCACACTTTAATAGTAAATGCACCTTTTTTGTTTTTAGTTGTAAAGGAAGCACTATCCACTAGTGATAAGTTACCTTTAGCAAATGAACCAATTTGTGCTGTTTGAACTGTTTGTCGTGGTCGTGATCGTTCTGTCATTAATCGTCCAGATACACGTACTTTGATACCAACAATATGTGAAGGTAGATCACTAGCTAGTACATTAACAGATTGTGTGTTTTTAACAGGTACAATAGATCCAAAGATTCGACGTACAATTTGTACTAATGTGTAATCTTGTGTGTTCAGTGCAATGTATTGTGCTAGAATATAGCTGTTCAGGTATGGATAGTGTAGTTTAACTAGTCGTAGTTCTACAGGTCGTCCAAACAGTGAACTTAATGCATCACCCAGATTGTTGACTGTATTATTATTCAGTGCTTTACCTGTATCAGGAATGTAATAGAATACATGTACAATAACTGAATCAGCAGTTACTGTAAATACAGGTTTGCCGGCTAGTGCATTAATAGGTGAGAAGAAGTGTGCAATTAATTTAATACCACTTCGTGTAGAATTAAGCATATTTACACTCCCGACACCATTATCGAAGTTGTGACCAGTTGTTAATACATTACCGCCTGGCAGGAAGTATTTAGCTAGGCTTTGTGTTAGAATGTTTTTCATAGTCTTAGATTATATTATTTTGTATGTATGACCATTTCAAGTGAGTATCCAAATATTTGAACACTAAAGATCACGTTCAGATGATTCTGATACGCTTACTTTTAGGTATTATAATAGCCGAAAAAAGGATTTGAACCTTTGTCTTACCGTTATGAGTGGTAGGTTTTAACCAGCTAAACTATTTCAGCAGTAGAGCTAAGATTTCCAATAGGCCAAATTTTGTATATTAGCTGATTATATCTATATACCTATATAACATAGGGGCCTTACATGGGAGTATATTTCACAATGTGAATACTTACGCAGGAGTAGATTTGACTATTCAGTAAAGTGCTAAAATATTCATGGTCATTGAACTTGTCTTTACCATTACCATAGCTCTTGCTATTCAATAATTTGACATGTAATTAATGGCCTCAGACCTTCCTAACAAGAAATCTTGCTCAGCTATAGGTATCTTAGCCCTTACTTATAATTGCATACTTAAAGATGTAAGGGTAAAACCACAGAATCGAACTGAGGCATCTCCGACCACAACGGAGTGTTCTACCACTGAACTAGAATTACCTGTAATGACGAACGTAGCTTATTTAAGAATGAGGAGGGCTGGACTTGAACCAACAGTGAACATAGTTCGACCGGTTTACAGCCGGCTGCCTTACCAATTAGACGTACCTACTCTAAGATGTATATTGTAATTGCTCGGGACTGGACTTGAACCAATTCCCCAGAATCTTCAGTTCTGTGCTCTACCAGTTGAGCTACCTGAGCTATAATATTTGGAGAAATAGGGACTCGAACCCTAACGCCCGTGATGCAAACACGGAATACTAGCCCTTATATGATTTCCCCTGAGCTACTCTACTCTTTTAGTGTTGAAATTGAAATATTCGTGGTTTAACGGGGATTTAATACGAAAGATAATACTTGAATACTAACTATTTGTCTGTAGCAATGTCCATTAGTGTGTTTTCGATTACTCCAACCACTGGTACGATTACTAGGAACCAGCCAAAGTATAGAGCTGTAGCAATAGCACCAATTGTAATGTATGGTTCTTCTGCGTGTTGGCTACCGATAAACATTAGTAGGAAGAAATCTGTTACGAATACCCAGAATGCAAATCGCATTAGTGGTCGGAATTGACTTCCTCGGACTCGGCTAGTGTCTAGAATAGGCATTAGAAGAAGAATCAGTAGTGAACCAAGCATAGCTACAACTCCTAGAAGTTTGTTAGGAATTGATCGTAGAATAGCATAGTATGGTAGTAGATACCATTCTGGCACAATTGATGGAGGTGTTTGCATTGGGTTAGCAGGGATATAGTTATCGCTGTGTCCCATTGCGTTTGGTAGGTAGAACACAATAATAGATAGAGCTAGGAAGAATGCTAGAATTGTTACTAGATCTTTGAAGATGAAGTATGGGTGCATAGGTAGTTTGTCTGCATTAGAGCTAATACCTAGTGGGTTGCTACTTCCGTGAGTATGTAGTGCCATCATGTGCATAACTGCTAGTGCAGCTAGTACGAATGGAAGTAGGAAGTGAAGTGAGAAGAATCGGTTAAGTGTAGCATTATTTACAGAGAACCCCCCCAAACGACAAAAATTTATTAATCTCTTGTTTATGGAGATTTTCTTACCATTACTGATAAGATTAGACTATGTCATCATCCACTAGTCGTAGATGTAGGGCACTCTTGTCCAGATTATTGTTAATGTAACTCACCAGTTAGTCGTTGAACTTTCCTAAATCATTATTACATTGATCTAGGCTTAGCTGCAAATTGTCTTATATTAGGGAAGGAGTATTATATATAAGATTTCCTTGCAATTCACCCTATTTATCATATTGAGTTACCTCAATAAGCAACTCGATATCCTTTATGTAGTATTCTCTGGTAATTTAACTTCTTTAAACCGTAGTAGATTACGCATTGCATTAATCCATGCGTCGTATTGTACTTTTTATGTCCTATTAGAGGATGTAGATTAGAAAACGAGAAGAACATGATAACTTTATTTAAGTCTTTCACTGAAGAAACGCTAAATTTAGAGTGTCCTAATGTAGTGTTATCAATACTACGTCGAGTGTAGAATAGTAGTTGAAACGCTTCAAATAAGTTTTCATGTGACCGTTGCCGAACAGTGAAATATAATTCTAAGCTAGTTTTTACGTGAAATGAACTTTCAGCCATTACAAAACCTACCACCCAGTTAGTAAAGAAAGGAAGAGAAATGTATGCTTCTGGAGTAGCTGGTAATGGGTAGCTGTTTAGATTAGATACCCCGGATTTTACTTCATCATATCGCACGATATTGTTAGCTAAAATATATAGTGCTAGTGCATATTGAGCTCGTCGTGCTTTTGTTAAGAAAAAGATTTCGTGATGAACTAGCAGAGGAAAGATAACTTCTTGTAAATCAACTCGGCCAATGATATATTTTACTGTAGATTTGTAGTCATATAGACGTCCTACTCGTAACACAGAAATGAAGTACTCTAATACTGCTTTATCTCGTTTATCTAGTGAAATGACTAACTCTAAAGAAATAAATCCCTTAGTTGTTCGAGTTACTTTAATATACCCGTCTCCATCTACAAATCCTACAAACATAGCTAAGAAACTGTATGAAATAGACTTAAATTCAAGTTTATCATTTTCAGTACGAGCTGCTTTACCACGTAGTGCACTTGTGTTAATAGTTCCAATAGTAGGTAAAATGTCCACCGGTGTTGAGAAGAAAATGCTATAAACGAATAGAACAAGACAAAGGATAAGAACGAATTGTACGAAGTCTTGTCCAATCCATGGAATAGCTGATAGCATGTTTGTAATTACAGTTGCCAAGTTTCTAATTATATATCGTACTGTTTTTCACAGTTTATATTTCCCCGAATATATAACCCTGTACTCTATGTAGCCTTTGATTCAGAGGTTTAATTACATGAGCCTTGTGACTAGATTAGATAACTAATTTAGCAGAAATTCCGACTGTACATTAAGCACTTAATTAATACCTTACCTCGTGATAAGTATGTAATTAAATACCCACCAATGAACCAGTCTGTAGCGATCATCAAGTAACATTATTTCTTGATTTCCGACGGTCTGAACTAGAGAAAATAGTCTTTGACCGTTTTCATCAGTGTTGCCTTAATTAAACCAAAATGGTTAGATTAAGACTATGCATAGCTATATCAGTAGCTTATAATATGGTGCTAGATTCCTAATTTGTATAACATGCTAGGCACGATATAAGGACGAACAATTTCACGAAGAATAGGCATAGATTCTGACCAGATATAAATAATATATTGATTAGGTACTCCTGCACTTTGAACAGAAGATTTAATACCATATTGTTCATAGATAATTAATGATAATCGTGTACAATCACCATAACTAAATGAATTAGTAGCTAATTTTAGTCCATATCCTACACGTCCTCCGTCATCCATGATCCAAATAGCTAAAGCTAATGGTGTAAGATAATCCGAAATGTTAGCAGGAACTACTTTTACTCCATTTACATACCATTCGTAATATAGAAAGTTAAGACTAGAGTATGTGTAAGTATGAAAACGTAAAATTGATCGAATTACACCACCTGATCCTAGTCGAGTTTGAATAACAGGTTGTGTAGGATTACAATAACCTAAAGAAGCTACTAAATTATGAAACCATAAAAGGTACTCTTGATGAGATGCTTCTTGGTAAAATCCAAGACGAGTACCTCCGCCATCTGGTCGAAGTTCGGCATGACCATCGCCAAGTAAAGATCCTGTAAAAATGCTAATAATATCATTATTGTGCGGCCCTACTCGAGCCGTAGATCGAATTCGTTTAGCTACCCGATCTGGCGCAAGATAAATAGCAATGAAATCAAAGAACCATAAAATACCTACTGCATAAGCTAAACATTTAGGGCAAAAAATACCCCATAGTGACATTTGTCCGTAAGGTAGAACATACAACACTTATTCTCTATTCAGTCCCAAGATTCTATTTGCCTGAATAGAAAGGTTAATAACCAAATAAGTGGCCGACTGTACATTAAGCATCATTTCAGACACCCATCAGTGACCCAGTCTGTAGCGATCCTGTATGGAACCGACGGTCTCTTACATAGAATATGTACTTTGACCGTTTTCACTGATATCGCCAGCGTCCTATTAGAACGCCAATACCCTTGTAAGGTATTCTTTCTTACTGTATATTTTTCATACAAATTGCTATACATTTTACAAGAAAGGACTATGGTTACCTAAGTATGCTAATTGACTTTTCCTAATCGTAGGATTTTACAACCTTGGCAGTCTTTTCCAGATGTTAAAGCTCGTCGAACTGTTCGTTCGTTACATTCAATAAAGTCTGCAACTGCTGGTAATGTTCGAATAACTACTGATGTAACCATTTCTATATCTTTAGACATGAAAGGTTCTCCACTAGGTAGAGATACTTCAAATAGTTGAGCTTTCGCAGAATTAGCAGATACTAATGATCGTGTTTTATCTGTCATAGGTGCTCGTTTAAGAGCTGCTTGTCGGATAAGCTCCACAGTTTCAGGAGAAAGAGATTTATCGCGATTCAGGCTACCAATTGTTTCCCGACGTTCTTCTGAATAATTAGCTTTCATAAGAGATTTAACTTCTTCAGAGTGCCGGTAACCAAATGTATTACCTGCTTGTGGCGCAATATTATATTCTGGTTTTACTAGATTAATATATTTATCTTCCATTACTAGAATATCTTTATTATCGTTAGTTGTAACGGTTGTAGATACTGTTTCCAGTACTACAAAAGCAAAATTACCTAAACCATATTTTAGTACTGCTGACCACACACGAATATTTCCTTTTCCTCCACATAAGTGTTTATGGAATCGATTTTCCATTTTTCCTGTAATCGCACTGCCTACATAAGTGTCACCTGTAATTAGGTTTACAATCATATAGACACCCCCTAAGGATTTAATCATATTTAACACTTTGGATTTAGTATCTCCTAAGTTTTCAAAGACAGCCACCGGTTTTACACCTTTACGGTCAAGAATTTCTTGTAGAGTTCCTGATGTTACAATAGGTAAAGCCGAAATCATATCATACTCATCAATAAACCATGTTTGGCTATTTAAATAACCAAGGAATGCTACACCCATCATTAGAACTAAAATAATTACACCAATAGACCATAGCAGAACTCGTGGAGATTTATATGATCCATAGTATAGTCCTCGACCGATGTGTAGGTAAACGAAGATAAAGAAGAATGAAGCTACATTAGCGTGAATGTATCGAATCATCCATCCGTAGTTTACGTCTCGCATAATGTGTTCTACACTGATGAAGGCTAGATCGACATTAGGTGTGTAGTGCATAGCCAGGATAACTCCTGTAGCAATTTGGATACCAAGACATAGAGCTAATAGAGATCCAAAGTTCCATACATAGCTAAGGTTAACTGGTTGAGGTGAATCTACAATGTAACTGTTAACTAGACTTAGTAGTGGGTTAGATTTTAGAAGTCGCATAATAGAATCATAATATTTTGATACTAAAGTCTTAATCAAGACGGATTAGATGTCCATATCAAATTACCATAGGTATGAGATTAACAATAGATGATTTAGTTTATACTTAGCTAGGCCTGGTCTGAAATGTATAGTAAGCAATTCATATACTAGATGTATATACGAAGTAATCGTTAAGCTCAAGAGGAATCGAACCTCTGCTACGCCGATATCAACAGCGAGTACTAACCGTTATACTATGAGCTTTACTATTCGGTTAATATCGCTTTTAGGATAGTTCTAAATATTAATACACTCCTACAGGGGTGGATGGAATCGAACCACCACCTAAGACTTTGGAGATCTCTATACTAGCCACTATACTACACCCCTGATGTAATATTTAAAAAGAGCTCATAGGGAATTGAACCCTAATGCGTTGGATTTGCAATCGAAGCACGAGGCCACTCGTGAGCTCTATCATTCATACTTTTAGCTAACTATTTAATTCTTTGAACCTACTAGTTTGCTTATCGGGGATTTGAAAAGTGAAATTATTTATTATGATTGGTCTTCAACAATTGTAGCTCGGTTAATTGCTGATCGTTGATCTGTGAAGTAAAGTGCACCTTTTCCTAATTCGTATACAAATCCCAGTGTTAGAACTGTAAAGAAGATAATAGCAATCCAGAATCCATATACTGATACATTGTATAGTGTCACCGCTACAGGGTATAGTAGAAGAATTTCAAGATCGAAGATTAGGAATAAAATACCAACTAAATAGTATTGAATACTGAATGGTGCCCGAGTTTGTCCGTAGATTGGACTGAACCCACATTCGTAAGCTGTTACTTTTTCAGCATCTGGTCGGTGTGCTGCTAGTAGTACATTAGCCATTAGCAGAATTACCACTAGTACAGGAACGAATAAGAAAAGTAATGTAATTGTGTTCATTAGTAGTGGAATAGTGTTAAAGCTAGTAGACTAGTGCTATTTAAGATGATAGATGGTTTGAACACGAATAGTGTGATAGCCATTGTAAGTGTTGCAATAGTAAATGCATGAACGTTTGATAGTTTGCTTTCTCCTGATACTGTAGATGATTCAGTATTTACTTCACCTGTGTCGAAGTGGATTACTCGAACAATTTTCAGGTAGTATGATGCACTGATAACAGATACGATAATAGCTACGAATGATAGGAAATAGTACCCGCTGTGTGTAGCTGAGTATAGAACCATTTGTTTACCGAAGAATCCGATTAATGGAGGCACTCCAGCCATTGAGAATAGACATACTGTTAAAGATAGTCCCAGTAAAGGGTTAGCTCGGAATTGTCCTGCAATGTCTGAAATAAATTGGATGTCTGTTCCGTATCCATTAGATCGATCTACTGTAGAATGAATCATGTATCCAAATGCTAGTACTACTAAGAATGCATTTAGGTTTGTAATACTGTATTGTACTAAGTAGAATAGAAATGATTCAATAGATTCTTCACTGTTAACAGCTAGGGCCAGTAGAAGGAATCCTACGTGTGAAATTGTACTATATGCTAGTAGTCGTTTGATTCGGTATTGTGCTAGACCAACTACTGTACCAATAATTAGGGATAGTAATGATGATACTAGTAGTAGGTTTTTCCATACATCAAATGGAACACCATCAATTAGTAATGATAGTGAAGCACCTGTAAATCCTAGTCCACTTTGTAGTTCTAGTAGGAAGACAAAGATAGATAGTTTAGGCATAATAGTTAGCCATGTTGTTACAATAGTTGGTACACCATCGTATACGTCAGGAGCCCAGTTATGGAATGGAGCTGCAGACACTTTGAATAGGAAACCTACTACTAGAATAGTTAATCCAATAATACACGGTCCTAGACCTGATGTTAAATTATCTACACCACCTACCGATAGGATAGAGAAAATGCTTTCAAGGTTAGTTAGACCTGTGTATGCATATACAAGGGCTGATCCTAGTAGAATTAGACCTGATGATAGACCTCCTAGTAGGAAGTATTTTAGACCAGCAGATGTTGCTGATTCAGAATCTCGGTATAGTGTAGCTAGGATGTAAACAGCGAATGATTGTAGTTCAATACTTAGATATACTGAAACTAGATCGGCACTAGATACTAGGAATGAAGACCCACAAACAGAGAATAGAATAATTAATGGGTATTCTGCAATTGTTGGAACAGCTGTAAATACTCCTCGAGCTTGTGACATTACTGCATTAGAAATAGGAGCCCATGGAAGTAGAATTAGTGCACCAACAATGAAGATAAATGTATCAATTGATTGTGTAACCGATGTGACTTGGAATAGCCCACTGTAGATACTTACACCTGAGCCAATAGCTTGGATATTAAGAGCGTTATATGATAACGCTGCGGCATACAGTAGTACAATAGAAGCTACCCGGGTTAATAAAATAGGAGAGATTTTTACGTTAGGGAGCGCTACGGCTGTCATTAGAGAGAAAATACCTAAAACAAGCATTACTGTCGAAGCCTAGCCTACCGTAATTTTACTTTATAAGAAATTATTGTATGCCATGATAGTGAATACCTTGAGCCTGGTAATAACTATTCATATGTTATATGATATAAGCATCCAGAATCGAACTGGAACCTTCTACATCACTCCGCTCTCGCTTCGTCTTAGTCAACCCATTGTTGTACTCATTTATAGATCTATTATGCTTTTAAGTGCGGGGAATTGAAATTGAATTAAATCTTTAGTACATAAACACCTATTACCATATCCGTTTTACGTTTAGTAGCAGGTCCTACTATTGAGTGAGTATGAGGATTGTTCTTAGGTAGTAGATAAGAAAGAGAGACAGGCACAATAGACTTAAGAATATTAAATTCTTCTTGTGTTAACGATAGTGCATGATAAGCTAATATACTATTGATAACTGAAAGATCTGTAGGTGTATTACCTTTAAAATGTCGCATAGCTAAAATGTAAGAATTGTTTATGTCTTGACCTGTATCCGGTTCATTAATAGCAGTAAACAATTTTTTAGCATCCGTTGACGTCGAGTATCAATTAGTAAGGAACATATTGTATAGTAGATTAGACGAATAGTTTCGATATTGTTGTGTTGATAGCACAACTAGTTGTTGATCGATTGTTACCTTTATTAACGAATTAATAGTAGATTGACTTTTAGGCCTCTAAATGTGTGTATACTGCTAGAGGTGTTCGACGAATATGGTTTATTTGAGTCTTTCATTTTAATCAAGAACCTGATATAATTTAACCAATTATTACTTATTAAGATTATGAGTGTCCGGAATCGAACCGGAGTCATCCGAGTGGAAGTCGGAGATAATAACCGCTATATGACACTCACGATTTGTTGATATTATATTTAGAGTTAATTTGATAGGAAGGAAGACATACTAACCATTATACAATACTTACACTTTTACTAGTAGTTAGCGTTCTAAAGAATTCTAACCACTTAGGTATAAGTAAAGATAGAGACAGAGAAATTACCTGACTTTTCTCTTTTAATTAAATAACCGCCCTATTGGAATCGAACCAATATTCTCTGTTTCGAAGACAGTAGTACTGACCATTATACTAAAGGCGATGAAGGGAATATCAAATAACTAGAATCAAGTAATGTGATAAAAAGATTATCAGATAAATAATATATATCAATAGTGTTCTATGAACATGACATAACCTATGTAGTAGTTAAAATAGACAAATAAGAGATAATATGATTAAGGTGTATAGATAATTTTTCACTTTTTCATTTAGTACACGTATTAGGAGTCGTGTTAGTTTTAATTATCGGTTTAGAATCTTTTTGTAAGTATGAAATTAGCAGGTGTCAACCGGACCAGGTATCTTTAAGAAGATAATACTCAGGTATAATATATCAAGGGGATCTAGTACTGTACTGTTTTTAGGATACAATACTATACAATACTATATATATACTCTTTATATTTCTAACCTCTAAACATTAAGATAGTTATATTAATTAATATATGATATTTAAGCTTCGACGGCCTCTTCGGCAGGCTTGGGTTAGTTAACTAAATAGTAGATCTGGTTACTAATTAAGTTATATATTAACTTCGCCTTATAATTGCCTACTCCTTTAATCTATACCACTCCCTTTATTAACTCCCCTCTCACTTAAACATATACTCCTTCCTTATCTTTTTCTTTACTATCCTTCTATTACTCGGTATACTTAAATATACCTCCTATTTAGTGTTCTAATATTCTAGTATATTTTATTTTTTAACTTCTTACTTACATACTAGTCTAATATACTTGCTTACTCTTAATTTAATTAAATGTCTTTATATACTTTATTTAAGTGTTCTAATATTCGTGTCTATATATTAATATCCTTGCTCATACTTATTTAATTAAGTGTTTTAATATTCGTGTCTTATTTAATATCTTTGTTTACACTTATAAGTCTTCATTCTATTATTTGTATCTTTATTTATTAAATATGCTTACTCACACTTATAAAGTGTCAGTTTTTATATTCATATCTTTATACACTTCCACTCAGTATCTTTATATTATAACTCCTTATATCCTAATAACACCATTTATTTTATTTACATAAATTCAAACTCTATTATTCAGGATACCTTATCTTAATCATGATTATTGTGAAGAAATATTATCTATATCTTACAAGTGAAGAGACTTGAACTCTTATGTCGTGAAGACATCGTGTCCTAAGCACGACCTGTATACCAATTCCAGCACACTTGCTTTATATACTTTTAGAAGTATATATGATGATTGTTATAATATTGTACTATAATCTTTTATATAGCTAAATGTTGAGATCTAGCGAGTAGACTCGTACCACTCTGTGGACCTCAATACACTCGCCACGCTCGTTTATATTTATTTAAATGGTTTATGCCTCCCCCTTTTAAATATATTACATTTTTATTCTTGGGGTACTAATTAAATTATTCGTTGATAAAGAGCGGAGCTCGTGCCGACTTCACCGATAGGTGCTGGGAGGTCGAGCGGTAACTTTCATCTCTTCTAGCCAACTCCCAAGTACCCCTTTTAGCAATATTTAAAAATTTATCAAAGTGATTAATATTGAACGGGGATTAAATAAGATAAGATAAAATGTTAGTGTACTAGTATGGTGTAACATCGAATGCTACAAGGATACTAGGAACTAGTACAACTAGAGCAATAGCTAGTGGAAGCATACCTGTCCAACAGAACACCATTAGTTGATCATATCGTAGACGTGGTAGAGTTGCTCGGAACCATACGAATAGAAAACAGAATAGACATGTTTTCAGTCCTAGGAAGATACTTTGTAGGTTAATAAATGTGTCGTTTACGAATAGTTCTGGCATATTGTAACCACCAAAGAATAGAATAGCTGTTAGTGTAGACATAAGTACAATAGAACAGTATTCACCAAGGAAGAAGAACACGAAAATCATACCACTGTGTTCTGTAAAGAATCCAGCTACTAGTTCTGATTCAGCTTCAGGTAGATCGAATGGTGTTCGATTAGTTTCTGCAAGTGCAGAAATGAAAAAAATAATAAACATAGGAAGCAGAGGTACAACAAACCAAATAGCTTCTTGATATTCGATGATGCTAATGATATTAAATGAACCTGTAAGAAGGATCACTGTTAGAATAGCTGAACTAAGAATTAGTTCATATGAAATCATTTGAGCTGTAGATCGAAGAGAACCTAAGAAAGCATATTTAGAATTAGCCGACCACCCTGCGAATAGGACTCCATATACCCCAACTGATGAAATAGCTAAAGTGTATAGAATACCTAGTGAGAAGTCTGATAGTGTTAAACCTGCACCGAATGGGATAACCCCCCATCCTAGTAGACTAAAGATAAGAGTGATAACTGGGGCTAGAAAGAATAGACTTTTTGTAGCTTGAGCAGGGATCACTGTTTCTTTAACTACTAGTTTAAGGGCATCTGCGACTTTCCTCAAATCACTTAATCAATACTTACTCAGGTGTTTTTGTTTGTGGACTAGTATAGTAATAATACCCTTCGAAAGGCTTACCTGTATCTAGTTTTGAAGGTAACGTACTATCTGAAATAGGCATTGTTTTTGCTACCATTCGAAGACTTCGAAAAGGTTGTCCATTTACAAGAATAAAATCTTTAGTATCATAAACAAATACTTTAGTACCTGCTTTCTCAGCAGCAATATCTAAAGCTTTAGCACCTGGTCCTTTGCCGTAGAAAGGATTTTTAGCTCCTTTCTGTGATTCACTCTTTTTAACTCGTGTCTCGTCGGAGTCTTTACGTCCAGTTAAAGTAGCACTAATTTTCGATCGAGTAAGTAGTGATAGAGTATTAATCTGTCGAGGGTCCATTGAAGAACTCATTAATACATTTAATAAAGGACTAAATACAGATAAGTACCAATTTTCTCGATCGATTAGTTTATCACGAGGACAAACTTCTACTACTGTAAATGAAAAGTTAGACCAACCAAAAACCTTTAGAAATAACCCTAGGAAATTTGATTGTTTAGCTCCATTAAAGTAGTGATATTTAAATCGAGCACCTAGATCTGACGACGAACCATAGTAAGTAAATAAACGGAACGGAAGAAATGTAATTTTGTAAATACCGCTTACTCCTTTCCAAGTATTTCGGAAAGCTGCAAGATTGTTAGGTACATTATTACAATGAGCTACCGCTTTGTGCTTTTTAAATCGCACAATATGTGGCCAATTCATATACTTAAGGATATGCCGATATTGTTTTCCTGCATTTGTGCTAGAGAATGGACTTAAGGCAAGATAGCAGTACTCACCTTGAGATAAAAATAAGTAAAAGGCGCTGAACATTAGTAAAATTGGTGCAACAAGGGAGGTAGATCATATCACCATGCTTTCTATAGAAGCATGCAGAACGTGTGATCGTTGAGGGGAATATTAATTATACTCTTCCCTGCTGATTGCACATAAAGACTATTTATTACAACTTAGGTATAGTCTAATATTGTGTTTTCCAGCATATAGTTCTGTTATCAATTATTCCTCACGGAATAATGCCGCTCGCAATCCTTAATTAATGCTACGGTTGTAGAACTCCATAGTACCCAACTTTATTAGGACCAACACGACGTTGCATTGCAGCAAGAACTTTTCGTTCAATAATAGTCATAAAGGCTACTGATAATAGAATAGGTACTAGAACAATCAGCACTTCTAATAGGTTATAGATTACTCCTAGCATGATATGTGTGAAATATGGTACACAAATCTAGATCGTATAATATATCTGATCTGTGTAAATTGGTAATAACCAATATTATATCTACTGTACATTAATGTACAGGAGGTGCTATTATGATTGTGAGTCCAGCCAGCTTAGGTATTTTTCTAGAGAAACGGCTTCAATAGCAATAGGCATGAATCCGTGGTACACACCGCAAAGTTCTGAACATTGTCCGTAGAATACACCTTCTCGTTGGATTAGAACTGATGTTTGATTTAGTCGTCCTGGAACAACATCAATTTTCAGTCCTAGTGAAGGCACTGCAAAGGCGTGAATTACGTCAGCACCTGTACCAACAAATCGGATGTGTGTGTCAACGGGTACAACAACTCGGTTATCAACATCTAGAAGTCGTAGTTGTCCGTCTTCTAGGTCTGAGTCAGGAATCATGTAACTGTCGAATTCGATTGATTCTCCATCATCGTTAACAAAGTCACTGTATTCGTATGACCAGTACCATTGGTGTCCGACTACTTTGATAGTCATTGAAGGTGAGATAACTTCGTCCATTAGGTAAAGTAGTTTGAATGAAGGAATGCAATAGCGATTAGAATGAAAGCTGGTGTAATTGTCCATACCAGTTCAATAAGTGTACCGTGGTTTGCGTATTTGTATACAATAGGTGATTTGTCGCTGCTGAAGTTAACTACAACAGATCCAATTACCCAAACTACACCAACGAAGATTACCACTAGGTAGAAGAAAATAGAATTGTGTAGTTCTGAGATCCCTTCAAAAGTAGGGCTAGCACCGTCTTGGAATCCAATTTGCCAAGGTTCTGGTGCATCACAGTACACAGGGCTTAGAAGCCGTGATAGTAGGTCTAACATGTAGTGATGAAATATTCATATCCTTAATTAGCGCGCAGTTGACTATTTGGCACTTTATTGCTCTAAATAATTGCACTCTATATAAAATATAGCATAGAGTTCTGCATCTCTAGTATATCACTAGGCTTTGATATCTGGAAATTAACTCCTATACCTCGCTTAAAGCTCTTGTATGATATCAATAAGGTGTATTCTCAAAATAGGGTATGATCATTTAACATTTGTATTCTGTATCAGATCAATAAGGAATAGCTGAATCGAACAGCTGTAGCCATTGTGTAAGAATGGTGATTTAACCACTAATCTAATCCCTTAAGGATGCTTATATGCTTTTAGTACGATAAAGTTATTGGAATACTTTGAGCGGGATTAGAAATATGAATGTATATATTTACGGTGTAGCATAGAGAAGTTCTGTCACTGCTACATGTAGGTCTGTGAAGATAATATTAGGCATAATACCAAAGATTAGTGCAACAAGTA